AAATAAATAAATAAATAAATAAATAAATAAATAAATAAAGTGGGGCCGGCCAAGTGGCTCAGTTGGTTAAGAGTTGGCTTGGGAGCATGAGCTCTGAGCAGCAGCGCCACCAGTTCAGTTACCACCTGGGTCAGTGACGCTGTGCCCTCTACAGCTAAGATTGTGAACAACAGCTCCACCTGTAGCTGGGCTGTTGTGAGTGGCCGACAATGGCATAGGCTGCAGCCCCTGCTGCAGTGCGCTGCCGTAAGCTACTGTGAGTGGCTGGCAGCTGGCAAGAGCTGCTGTGAGCCACTGTGAGCGGCCGTCCAATGGTCAGTGACCAACTGCCTCAGCCAGGAAGAGCACAATGATCATAATACCAACATGGGCCAGTGAAGCGACGTCCTCCACAACTAGGCTGAAGAACAAAAGGACAGCAACTTGTCTGTTCCCCTTTCCCGATTCCCCAATAAAATCTTTTAAAATAATAATAAAAAAACAAAAATTAATTAATTAAAAAACTAAACTGAGAACAGAATTTAGAAACAGATTTATGAATATAGGGGAATTTCGTGTAACAGCTAAAACAACCCTACTGTAGAAACCTACTTCCTTCTTTCCTCACATGATGATTCTAAGTCCTTTCCTCTTTTTTACTCTACACTCTTTCCCAGGCTATTTCTCCTCTTCCACTCTTTATTTCAACAAATACATACTCAACAGCGATTATGCACCATCCACCATGCTAAGTACTGGGTATTGTAAAAAAAAAAAAATAGCAGACTGGAGTTGATATTGTCAAGAGGGCAATTTAAAATGGAGTCAGGAGACCTCCAGGAAGCTGAGCTAACACAGTCCCTCCATGTGAAAACTGAACTTTTGAACTAGGCTAAAGCACAAATGGCTACATCCTGATACAGTTCCTGGAATTGGCACTGTATCACTGAACTCTCTATTAATAAATAAATCTTTCACCAGCAAAAGACATAAGCAATTAATCATGTATAATACAGTGTAAGTCTGCTTGCCAGCACCAATCACAGCTCTTTCAAAGCAACTTATATAATCCCTCAGAAAGCCCCCCTTTTCTGTCTTTCTAAACTCTGTCCCTTTCTTTTCCCTCTCTGAGCACATTTGGGTTTCTATCCAAATCTGTGTCTTTAAAATTGCAATTCCTAAAAGACCCTGAAATAAATCTTTCGTTTGCCTTGGAGTACTTGGTCAAAATTGATAGACAGTATACACTAGTGAACAAGACAGATCTGGTACCTTCACTTGAGGAACTTCAGAGTTTAGTGGGAAAGGCAATATGCCTTTTGGCAATGGTGCCAGGATGATTCAATGGGGATAGAATAGTCTTTTCAATAAATAATGCTGGGACAACTGGATAGTTACATGCAAAAGAATGAAGTTGGACCCCTCCCTTACACCATACACAAAAATTAAATCAAAATAAATCATAGACCAATATGAGTATGTATGAGTTAAAACTATAAAATTCTTAAAAGAAAATATAGGAGGAAATCTTCATGATCTTGGCTTAGGAATGATACCTTTCTTAGGTATGATAACAAAAGCACAAGCAACAAAAAGAAAAACAGATAATAAAGTGTTGGCAAGGATGTAGGGAAACTGCAACCCTCATACATTGCTGGTGAGAATGTAAAATTGTACAGTAGCTGTGGAAAATAGTTTGGCAGCTCCTCAAAAGGTTAAACATAGACTTACCATATGACCCAGCAATTCTACTCCTATGTGGAATGAAATGAAAACACATATACACACAAAAATTTGTACATGAATGTTCACAACAGTATTATTTATAATAGTCAAAAAATGGGAACAATCCAAATGTTGAGGTGGAGAAAGGGGGAATGAGAAGTGACTGCTAATTGGGTACAGGGCCTTTTGGGGAGGGGTAATGAAAATGTCCTAAAATTTAGTGCTATTTTGTAAAGGCATGTGATTTATAAGGTAAAAAGAAAAAGATTATCCAAGACTTTGAACATTTGTAATTTGAAAAACAATGTGCTTTTCACTGAGTTGGTTAGGCATTTTACCATAGAACATTTACTATCCTTCTAGTAATTTCTAATGTGAAATTGGGAAAACTGAGGTACAGAAAGGTACACCTTACTAGCTTCCACAACTCAGAGGTTAGATCATATCTTACCTTTAACCTTTAAATTCCACTTATATGTTAAGGTGGGGAAGTGAGTTACTTCTGAACCATTTAGATCTTGGTTAAACGTATAAACAAGAAAAATTTTCTTAAGGGGCCGGCTGAGTGGCTCAGTTGGTTAAGAGCACGAGCTCTGAGCAACAGGGTTGCTGGTTCGATTCCCACATGGGCCAGTAAGCTGCACCCGAGCTGAGCAGCCACGAGCTGCCAACGGGCAGACAGATGGCTCAGTGTGCAACAAGGCTGCCGGTTTGACTACAGCATGGGATGGTGGACTACTCACCCCCTACGCCTCCCCACCCTCGCCCTGCCCCCACAACTAGATTGAAAGTGGCGAGTGGACTTGGAGCAGAGCTGCGCCCTCCACAACTAAGATTGAAGGACAACAACTTGACTTGGAGCTAATGGGTCCTGGAAAAGCACAATGTTCCCCTTCCCCAATTCCCCAACACTGTTTCCCTCCCCAATTCCCTAATACAAATCTTTTAAAAAAAATAAATTTTTTTCTTAAGTATAGCTACTTCAAGACAATAAAATCTCCCAATTACTGCTTTTAAACATTCCTGTTATGATTACTGAGCAATTTTTGCTTTCATAAATAGCTATTTATGACTCAGGAGAAAAATTTATTCTCTTGGGTTAGTTCTATTCATAGTTAGTCCCGTTAGAAAGAGTTGGTATATGTAATTTTCAGGGGTCATTTCAAGTTCTATAAAAATAAATATTTTCTATCCAATTGGCTTGCTTAGTTGCCTCACCTGTAGTATGTTTTCTTGCTAGTACATGGCAAACAGCTCAAACACTGTTTGTAGATCTTGTTCTCATCTGTGTCTAGTTCCAATCCACATTTAGCACAGCCAATATATATCATGTTGGGAAGAGAAGAGAAAATGCTCTTCAGAGAACTGCGAGCATTGAGAACTACGTTCTGAGCGGTTGTAGTAGGAAACACTAGCTCTAAAATCCGGGCTTTGATTAGAATCACTCCTACAAAAGACAAACAAAAAGAAATGTTATAAATTAGAGGACCAAAGTTATAACTTCAATTTATAAACACAGTTAATTACGTAGTTGATGTACAGCTACTCTTATTAAAGGGTACACCCAAGGTGTTGGTCTTCTCTTCACTGTTTTCCTAGATAATCTCACTCACTTATGGCTTCCTATTAACACTGGAATGTAAGGGGTGACCTGCCTGCAATTTAGAGTGAAGACTTATTTGGCTAATTCGGCTGAACAAGTGGATGCTGTCTTTCTCCCTGTCCCCTGGAATCATGTAAAATAAGTTTAATCCCTTTTAGGAGAAATCCATTCAAACACTTGAAACTAGCTAACATACCCTCTCTCCCTGCCCTCTCTTCTGTCTTTTTAATTGATTATTGTCAAAAGCCAAATAGGAGGTAAGTTATTCTTCTATTCTCTATTTTGCCCACAAATAATATACCACTAGTTTATCGTCTTTTTAAACTTTCTTTTTCGATTTCCTGCCCATTATCATCCATACTCTAGGTGTTGGTTATATAGCCGCATGAGCAATGAGCATCCTCATTTATTAAATGTGTGACCACCAGGAACCTCAGGCATGCTCACTGGCTCATGCGTTCACCTGTTAAACAAATACTGAGTATCTATTACCCACCAGACATTCTTTTTTCCTAATTTATCTTTGCCTCATTGTATGCTGAGGTCTATGTCTAGTGAGGCCTATGATCTAGTTTATCTGAGCATTCTTCTCCTTTCCTCTCCATGTTCAATTTAAAGCCTTTAAGTTTGTTCTTCATCTTTTTAGCATGTTATATACACTCCAGGTCAAGAGCTCATCATTCTGGTGTCCTATTCTCTTTTCTGGTCATCTCTTTGAGAATCCCATTAACGGTGACTTTCCTATTCCTAAGTCCTTCCATTCGCTTTTGTCTTTTAGTGCCTAAAGATTGTTTCGGGCTGGACGAGTGACTCAGTTGGTTAAGAGTTAGCTTAAGAGTGTGAGCTCTGAGCAACAGAGTTGCTGGTTCGATTCCCACATGGGCCAGTGACACTGCGTCCGAACTGAGCTGCCACTGAGCTGTCAACAGGTGGCAGGATGGTACAGCTGGTGAGAGCATGTGCTCCTAACAACAAGACTGCCTGTTCCGATGGAGGGCTACACCTGCCCGCAACTAAGACTGAACTCGGCATCTCGAGCTGAGCTGCCACCCAGATGGCTCAGTGGATAGAGCGTGCGCTCTTAACAACAAGGGTGCCAGTTTGACTCCCGCATAGGATGGTGGCTACGCCCACCCACAACTAAGACTGAACACAGCACCTTGAGCTTAGAGGTCACGAGCTGCTGAAGGACAGCCAGATGGCAACTGGCGCCCTCCACAACAAAGATTGAAGAACAACAACTTGGCTGGTCCCCTCCCCCAATTCCCCAATTAAAAAAAAAAAAAGATTGTTTCATCATCTCTTCCAATCATGTCATACATCCTATATGAATAACAAGAGTATGTGTAGTGGGCAGCATACCCAATAAACTATAGCAGGCTCTATATCACACCTTTCCACAGACATGTTGAATCACTAAGAAATTATGTAATGAAAGAATTTAATTTTAGAATAATGTTAACATAACTCCTAACATTTTACAAATTTACACACACCTATTTAAAGGAAAAGTTCCTTATGAATGTGGACTCTGCTTTCAAGAGCCTTGCTGCCAGCTAGGCACTGATATTCTGTTGATGGCAGGACGAGATGCTCAGTGAGCATCTTTATTTATTTTCAAGGAGTCAGGCACAGCCTCCTCCCTCTCTGGCTTTTCTTACACTTTGTAAAGAGAGCAAACCCTCTTAGGAAATGCTCCCATGTTGATCCCCCTTTCTCCCTCCTGTTATTTAACCATGGAATAGATTAGGACAAAATTGCTTGTACTTCCATGTGCTCTCTCCATTTCTGTCTTAAAACACATAAACAATGATAGAAACTATGAATTCAGCCCTCATAGTTGAACACAATGAGAATGAAAATGGCTAAAAGGGCCTCTCTAGACACAACCTACCAGGGATTGATTGCAACAGTACAAAGCTTTTGCATGGTTTCCCAATGGGGAGCAGCTCTCCAGGATTTACAAGAATACTCCCAATTCCCAGCCTCGTCAGTTTGGGTGATGAGGCTATCTATATCCTTGGTACTATTAATCATCAGAGCTGTGACCACCTATTTTGTTGTCATTCATGATGTTGTTCATTTTTATTTTAAAATCTAATTCTAAGTCTTCAATCCCAGCAGGTAAGTAGCTGTTCTGTGTAAGCAGTAGATAAGAGGGTTGACTTCTCCATAATACCAAATTAAATGTAGCCCCTCTACTGCCTGTGGCTTTCCTTCTTTCAGTGACCAGCTCCATAAACCTGTGGGGATTTTGAGGGGGAAAGGGAGGACGCACAAATATAAACTGTTTTAGGAACTTATGTGACACTACAACATTACCCAAGATTTCACCAGTTAGTGTAAATCTAGAGTCTTCTGTGGCCACAAATAACCTACTTCCATTTTTGAAAGTTGTATGAAAGTTTAACAGTATAAAAATTTGTAAATTTTCTATGACTTTTATCTTCCAGAAATATTAATTTTAAATTAACTATTAGTATTAATGTTTCAATGCAGAACTGGGTATATGGAGTTCTCCTCTGAGAATAAATCTCTATATTCCATTAAAAGTTGGGGTTTTCAAGAGGTGTTATTGTTTTTGTTTTCTACTTGCATTCTTCTTATCCTAGTTTTATGATGTAATAATGCTAATGCCTATAATTATATCTTGTAAAACATATACACATACATCTGTGAATTAAAACAACTTGTAAAATTTTAATTTGGCATTCAGCCAAGGTGGAGTAAGGGACTGGATTTATGCTCCAACCTTTCTATATTATAATAAAATACAAATATTTGGTCTTTGTCTCTAGCTCTGGCACACAGCTCCCGAAACCCTTGGACTCTCCAGAGTGATAAGAGTGTCTTTTGTATGCTAATGAAATAGCTAGGTAGCTTGGGGGTTGGGAGGGTGTTGCTGGTCCCCAGAAAGACCAAGGCATGATTTGAGAGTTGGAACTTTCAGCCTCATCCCACAACCTCTGAAAGTTTGAGTTAATCACCAATGGCCATTGATTTAATCAATCATATCTACATAATGAATCCTCTATCAAAACCTTAAACAACAAGGTTCAGGGAGCTGCTGGGTTGGTAAACACATGGAGGTGCTGGGAGAGAGGTGCACCTGAGAGAGCATGGAGTCCAGGCCCTTCCCCATACCTTCCCCTGTGCATCTCTTCCATTTGGCTGTTTCCTGAGTTGCATCCTTTATAATAAATTGGTAAATGTAAATAAAAAGGGTTCTACGAACAGTCCTAGCAAATTACTGAACCTGAAAGGGGGGGTGCGCTGTGGAGCTCCCAGCTGTGTAACCACAGCAGACAGAAGTGGGCATCCTGGGCACCTCATACTTCCGACTGGCACCTGAAGTGCGGACAGTGTTACAGGCAGAACTCGTAAACCTGTGGAGTCTGACACTAACTCTAGGCACGTAGTGTCAGATCTGAACTGAGTTGTACGACACTCAGTTGGTAACCCAAGAGTTGGAGAACTGGTTGTTGGGATGAAAAAAGAAAACCCATATATTTGGTGTCAGAAGTGGTGTGTAAAAAAACAGTTCAGACACTTGAAACAACTGAAAAACCTAACAAAATGTATGAAACGAGAATTCTCAAGACCTTGGATCACAGGCAACAAAGGACAGTGATCCTTACGAGATGAGAAACAAAGGGAAGTGAGCTGGGGGATGACCCCAGCTTACAAAGAGTTTCCTGGCTCTGGTGCAGGAAAGGGGTCCCCTGGCAGAGCCTGGCTGGTTTCCTCACAGTTGAGAGAGGACAGAGCTTTGAGTCTGGAAGGCTAAAATAGCTAGAGTTCTCAGAGCAGGCTACTAGACAGATGACAGCTGCAAAAACAGAAAGCTCTGGAGAGCTGCAGAGGGCTCCCCTGGAGAACTCAACTGAGTACATGTGACCAGATGCCAAAGAAAGAACCATCTGAAAAGATTTCTGGGAAAAATCCCTGAAGCTTGCACAAAGCTGGGAAAAATGTAGTATTTTCCCTTCTCACCAGCTAGAATGAAAAGCTCATGATCCATAGGGCATGGGATAGAGAACACATAAGCTGTGCTTAGAGGTAAATTTATGGCATTTAATGCCTACACTGGAAAAAAAGGAAAGTCTCATATCAATGACCTCAATTTCACCTTAATAAATGAGAAAAGTGAAACCAAAAAAAAGCAGAAGAAAGGAAATAATAAAGATCAGACCAGAAATCAAATAGAAAACAGAAAAATAGGGGAGGAAAAAAATCAATGAAACCAAAAAGAAGTTATTTGAGGAGATCAATAAAATTGACAAACCTCTAGCCAAATTGATCAGGGGAAAAAAGCAAGGAGACACAAATTAGCAATATCAGGTAATAACAATATCACTACAGATAAAACAGTATAGCAGTTTCTTAAAAATGTTAAACATACACTTCCCACATAATCCAGCTATTTACTCAACTCCTAGGTATTTACGAATGAGAAAAAAAAAAAAGACTATGTCCATATAATGCCTTATACATGAAAGTTTATAGAAGCTTTATTTATAACAGCCAAGAGCTGGAAACAACTCAGTTGTCCATCAACAGATGAATAAACAAGTCATGCTCTATACATACAACAGAATAAAAAGGAATGAATTACTGATATGCAAAACAGCACAGATACATCTGAAAAGAATTTGCTAAGTTAAAGATGCCAAACAAAACAGTGTACGTGCTGTATAATTCCATGTATATCAAATCATAGAAAATTCAAACTAATCTCTAGTGTTAGAAAGCAGATTGAATAGAATGATGTGCTGCTGGTAACTATACACAAAAAAGTTTTAAGTGATCCCTAATAATTACAAATTAACCTCAAAGGATTGTAGGCAAAAAGCTAAGAAGATGCCACTATCTGGTTCAGTTATTTACAAAGATCTATATTTCACTCTTATATCGAATTACATATTTTTCCCACAAATGATAGGTTCCTTGCTTATATTAAAACAAGCAATACTTTAAGCATATAAAGATCTTACCTGAATACTTATTCTCTAGATGTGTTGCTAAATCTGACATCTTCACAAAAGAGGGCATGCTGCTTTGAAATGCTGCTTTAAATGTAATTGCCCTTATATCATCATCAAACAGGCACTCACAGGATGACCAAGGCGTTGTATGCAATTCTAGGTTTTCTAGGATGCAATTGCGCTGAACGAAAAGATACTTAAATTCCCAAATGTAATCTTAAACAAACAAATAAAAATAAAAGGTTACCAAAAAGGAAACAATCTAGGCTCACAATCAGACTAAATAGACTAAATCAGTTAAATATAACTTTTATCACACTAAGGAATTGGGATGTAAAGAGACAAATTATGAATATTGTATTAAGGCAATAGGATAAGGATGCTAGAAATAATTTTAATAAAAATTTTTTCTAAAGATTTTTTGGTCTCCTAAACAGTCATCATTTATTATAACCTACTGCTTCTCAGAGTAGCAAATTCTCATTTTGGTATTTACAGACTTTTTAAAATAATAGAAATGGACACATCTGCCATAATCGATGTCTCTCATTGATTTTCAACATTTTAGTTTTCTTATTTAGCTAATTTTCCCAGAACAAAAGATGCATTTAGATACCATTGCACCTATTTTTAATTCCCTCAGTAATAATTCTAATTCTTAAGACCACTAGCACAGTACTTCTTCCAAATATTCAAGATTAATAAATACAGATATTAATATTTATATATTCTATATTAATAAGGTCATATTCTATATTAATAAATTCTATATTAATAAATGTAACTTTATTAATAAGTTCGTTTATCAATAATGTTCATATCAATAAATACATATTATATTAATAAACTCTATATTAATACATTTATGTTCTATATTAATAAATTCAACTTTAAAACTATAATAAAGCAAAAACAGGTCTCTTAGCACCAAGTTTTCTAATAATCACAGCTGTCCTTTTAGTTTTCCATTTACTTCAGGTCATAATCTAATTCACATACCCCACCTGCTTCCTTAGTTTCTTTCATTTTACAGTTTTTTATGTGGAGAATCTTAGAACAAGTCAGTAAATCCATATAAATAGAGGCATCATTAAAAAAACTAAAGTGTATATATTCCAAGTTGTTACTTAAAACTAATCACTATTTTAAAAATAGCTTTCTTGTCTTATTACAAAATACATGCTTAGAAATCGCAGACAAGCTAAGTAAATAAATGAATAGTAGCCATAATTTCAGCACCCCTAAAATAAAGTTAACATTTGTTTTCAATTTGTTTCATTTTTACTTAATATGTCAAATACATCTTTACATCTCATTAAATTCTACATTATTTTATAATATGTATAATATGCCATTGCACAGCTCGACCAAAATCTTAAAAATTATTACAGCAATCCTCTTATTTTGGAGCATGTTGGTTGGTTTTTAGTTTTTCACTACTATAAACAGTACTGTGATAATTATATTTTTAGCTATAATACATCTTTATGCGTAGCCATGATGAATTCCCATCAGTGTAATTATTAGGCCAAAGGTATTATAAATTCTAAGCTTTTCATAGCATCATCCTCAAGAAATATTTTGCCAGTTTACATTTCCAATAATTTATGAGAGTGACTGTCTCCCCATATCCTCTCTATAATTTCTTAGGAGAAAAATTATCTATCATTATTTTATTTGTATGTCTTCAATTACTAGTAGGAGTACTTTTTCTTATATTTTTTTAGCCATTTTTGTTTCCTATTTGGGACTTTCTTGTTCATATTTATTGCACTCAGGCTTACAGATACTTGTCTTTTGCTCATTCCAATATTTTCTGACAATATGCATTTTTTTCTGTTTTTTTTCACTTGTCTTTTAAGTCTGTACATGGTGATTTTTATAGATAGTATAGCTTCTGTTGCTGTATTTTATTTAACCTACTAACTTTGGATTCCAAATAAGTTTGCTTATTTTTTTTTTACTACTTATTGTTTCTTTTTTTAAAAAATGTATTTGAATCTCTAATGCATCTGGAATTTATTTTGGCACAAATAGGAAATATTAATTTAATTCTATTTTTTCTCAAGATATTCCAAACATTACTACTCTTTTTTTTCAAAAGGAAAAAAGTTTGCTTTTATTTTTTAATTATAAGATAAAATATGTTTATTGTAAACTATTTTAGACAGTAAAAAAGAAGGGAAACAATAGGTGAAGTAAGATTGGTCATGTTTTAATAAGCTGGATAATGGTACTTCAGTTCATTATATTATTATCTCTATATACTGGGGGTGCCAAAAAAATGTATGACTTATATTCATTGTTTGTTATCAGTCTATATTGAGTATTACAATTTTAATACAGTTTTTTTCCTTTCTTAAAAT